AGCGGTGTTGCATGGAGAATTTGTAGCGAACCGGTTTTTGCATTGATTACTGTCTAGTAAAAGCTATGCAAGCTTGACCAGCAGTGTTGATCAACATAAAAAAAGAAATATACCTATGTTTATTAGTTCTAATTCCATTTTTTTAATTGAAGAAATTTATACTTTTGTTGTTCAGCCAGTGAATTGATTTTTGTTTTTCTTGTTGTTTTGTGATTTAAATGCAGGTGTACATGGCATGCATTCTACACGGCCATAGGTGAGTAATCTTAGTTATTTATCAATCCGTATGTACAGCACATCGTTGCTATTGCTAATGTCGTTAGTCATGGTATATAGTATAAACTACATTAGACTTTACCTTAATTCTTAATCAAACAGTAGAATGCATCTGAAAATGATGACTTTGCAACTCTTTCATTCCAGAGTTGGAGTTTCTTATTACGACTCCAGTATTCGCCAACTTCACGTGCTGGAAGTTTGGGAAGATGGCAGCACGGACTTCCCCCTAATTGATTTGGGTATGAGTTTCATGTCTCTTTAGGGAGCCTATTTCCTGTACTCTGTTGTTTTGGTACAGTACTTCCTGATGCTGATATATAATTCGTTTTCTTCTCACTCAAGTTATCTCTTGCACTCTCCTTGTGTCTGATACCATCAATTATATTTCTGTTACTGTTTAGTTGGCAGATCTTAATTTGCCTATCTGTTTCTGTATGCAGTAAAATATCAAGCTAGGCCCCTGATCATTTACACAAGCACTAAAAGTGAAGAATCCTTCTTGTCTGCTTTACAGCGAAGTGGTATGTTCCTATCAAATGTAAGGTTCTGAATTTCAGCATGGGGCCTTTACGGTGAAGCTTGACTGAGGCCTTTAAAGTATTGCAGATGGAATGACTGAGGCCTTTACGGTGAAGCTTGTGAAAAGTTCCATATTTAGCTATGAGCAAGCATGGAACAGGTATATCTCTGATGATTTTGTTAAAATAATTGGAGTTTTGTAAACTTGGCTGAATATAGTGGGTTGAATGAAGGTTTCTGAGATCGTTAATTAACTATGGTATTCTATGTACCTGTTATTCTTAGGTTATGTTTGATGAGCCTCCTTACATTTACACTCTGATGCTTAGGCTTTGCAGATAGGTTCAGATAAGAAACAATTGTTTCGTAAGTAGGTTGTTGAAATTTCTTCACACGTTTGCACTTGCAAAATTCAAAATTTAAAACTTAATACGTGCTCAACTGTTGGATGGCAAACCTTCTTTGCCATTCTGTTTATGTCTTCCCATCAAATTGTCGATCATCAT